TGTTTGTGTAAAAGGGGGGAGGGGGGGGGGGGTGCGCGTGTGTGTGACCCCTTCACATGCTCTCTTTCCAAAGCACAAGAGAATCCCAGTCTGTAGCTCTTCTATCTTAATAAGACGTGCTCCCAAGAGATGGTGTAAGTTTAGCTTCTGTGTTGTTGGAACAGAGCACATCATAGCCTCAAGAAACACAGGACTAAGCTTTCCTGAAAATCTGCCAGAAGTGTAGAATGGGTTCTCACACAGCAACTCACAAGCATTTCAAGCATTCCCATGCAAAGCTTTTAATTCTATTTAAATGTTGTCCAGAGAAAGGAGGACAGGAAATAGGGAAAAAGAGGGAAGAAGGGAAGAGAGAGAACTCTCTCAAGCAGGCTGGCCATCTTCTGGTAAACACACTGAATTATATCCTCAACCTATACATCACCCAGGAAATATCTATTATATTCACAAGAGAAACAAGAATATTCTTTTTCTTATTTCTAAAAGCTGCACAAGGCTAAACTTCAGAGCAATTCCATACCCTCTGTGTCTCCTGGGAGAAGTAATTTACTCCTTGTGTCAAAAACTGTTTAGTATACTAAATCCAATTGTATAAAATTACACACAAAACTATTGAAAATACAGAAGCTGCCAAATAAAGCACACCCCTAAGTTAAGATTGACTGTCCAATGCTAGCTTGGTCCTCTTATGCACACATATTGAAACTGGTCCCACCTTCCCTCTGCTCACTCACTCCTTTACCTGAGCACATCATACCTGCCAAGTGCTCAATAGCTACAGGTATGAAAACCCTATGAATGAATTGTTATTTTTTCTTTAATGGTTATATATTGACTGGTGAAGAAATAAAATTCTGTATCATCATCAATTAAGTCTAACGGTCATATGCAGGGGATGAGCTGGAAGTCTAAAAAAAACCTAAGAGCTGTGCAAGGCAGCTAGAAGCAGAAATGGGGCTTGCACTGCAGCTTTCTGCCCAGCGCTGGCACAGGCTGCCCTCAGAGGCTCTGGAGTCGCCATCCTTGGACATACCCAAAAGCCGATTGGACATGGTCCTGGGCAACCTGTTCTAGGCTTGAGCAGGGAGTTTGGACAGGATGACCTCCAGAGGTCCCTTCCAGCCTCAACCATTGTGTGACTCAAATGCATTCACCATGAGAAATCATTCTTTCTTCCTCAATTTCTACTAATCTTCCAATTTCTGCTACAAGTAAGCTCTATAGAAAAGTAATTTTCCAAATTTGGTTCCACTCAAAAATGAATTTGAAACAGTGTACTGAAAAAGGCAGAGATCATGAGATGGCACAATTAAGATAAAAACATAATCATGTAACTAAAATACTATCTGTTGGCTCTCCACAACCCCCTGGCACTCACACCCTACTCACCAGGGCATGGAGACTGGAACTAACAGAAGCAGGAGGCCTGAATACACTCCACTCCCATTGGCACTATTCCACTAAAAAACATTTTTGGGCTGCAAACCGAAAATTATTTAGATTAAAAAAAAATCACCTCCGTATACATTTGGAGTAAATTAAGGTTTCACCTCAAATTTGAATTCTGAAATTTCTTTGCTTTTAAATATCTGGATTAGCGATCTCAGTAAAGTTCTTTTGATAGGGGGTTGTGGGGTTTTTTTGTCATTTTCTCATTTTTATTAAAAGTTACCTGAAGAAACATCCGTGCCATCATATGGACCATACAGACATACACACAGCTCAGAAATAAAACCGCCACAACCAATGACCAGAAGGAGCTTGAGGAGTAATCATAGCAGCAGCATACCACCACCCTTCCTGCAGAAGGAACAGCATCCGCACCATGTCAGTGGGCATTCCCAGGCATTGAAAACAGCAGACAAAGGTGACACTTGGGAACCAACACTAACAAAAAGCGTGTGTAAAAGACACGCATTATCTCCCATCTTTTCTTTTACACTTTATATCTTTAACCTTCTCCAGCCTCATCTCTTTTCTTCCTTTAATCAGGTGTTCCTGTCACATTCTCCTTTAAGATGACCATAATTCTCAAACTGCATGAAAGAGGGAGACAAAGGGAACCAGGAGGAGTTGCAAAGCTATGTTTCTCATGTATAAGTGGTTATGTCAAAAGAGCAAAGATAGCATCCATTTTGTCCAAGACTTTTGATTTGTTCTGTATTACAAAAGCAGTAACCTGTAATCTTTAATGGCTCTTCAGAAGTATGACCACAGAAGTGGTACCTCACAATACCACTTGAGAAAGAATCATTAAGAGATAATCTTTTATCTTGCATGGAAACACGTCCGCCTTTGTTGGAACAGACTATTAACATTTCTTGCCATGTGTAAGCTTACAGAGATCTTCCCAGAAGTTGATTCCAACCAAACACACAGTTTTCTCCTACATCTAAAAGGAGAGTTTGCAGGCTTTTACCTTGCCCTTTAAATAAGCATCACATCAGAAAAGGTCAGAAGATGAAGAATTATATTTGCCTACAAATACTGCTACAAAAAGAGAAAAATATCTGTCATTGATATATCCAATATATGCATATTCAATTTTTGTCATTCACAAATTCATTCATTTGTGAATACTGCAAATAATAATAAGTATGAGAGCTAAGTAAGTATATAGGGAAAAAGAGGAGGAAAAAAATCACTTTTCACCTATAGCTCAAGCATCAAATGAGACTTCTCACTACTGTGACAGAATTTCTTTATCATTGCAACAGGTTTATTATGTACATTAATTCAGTAGCCATTACTTCTGTGACAGTTTTTGATTTACATTCTAAGCACAGTTTTGTTTGAATTCTAAAGTCTTTTCAAACTAACAGTTTCCATTAGGCAATACTATAAAAAGCAGCTCTACTTTAACTGCACTGATTGACACACTGATCTTTTAGTGCAAAAGTGACTGCATAAATTGCAAGACTATATTTTTAGAAATACATTTATAAACATTAAATAACAAATTATGAAGGAATAGACATTGCCAGTAGCACAAAGTAAAACCTGTACGTGGTCCAATACTCCAGTTTAAAGGGGTAGTAAAAAAGCTTAGTTTGTGCATGACAAATCTGTCAAGCATGAGATGGCAACGCCAGCTGCCTGTCAAAACAGCTGTTAGAAGCAGAATTTTAAAAGTAATTATATAAAATGCTAGGGACATACTGATTTCAAGCAGGTGCCATTCAACATAAATACCAAATGCAAAAGGCTGCTTTACTTTAATGCACAGAACAGTTGTTATTAGTTAAACAGAGATTAGCAAGACAACAGATCCCAGAAAACTTTTATTCCGATATTGTCTATCCAATTGAGCAACCATAAAAGACATTTTAAAAGGATAAACACACAGAAGATCTTTGATAAGTATGCAGAATACTTAAAATTTCTTCAGAAAGCAAACTTCAAGAGATTCTTGAACTAACATTTTCATATAAGGTTCTGCTTTTAAATTTTTAGTTCAATTTTTCCTTCTCTTGATTTTTGTTTAAAATTATCAGTTTTCTAATGCACTGACAATAAGATCCAACTGCAGTACAGAACACCTAAGCTTTATTTTTACTAAAAATAACAAAGAGACAAGGCAATCTATTTCAACCTCAGAGATATATATTCCCCAAAGAAAAAGCTTCAAAAATAAGTACTAGAAATTAATTAGTGTATTTGTTCTTCCCTACCTTAAATCAAACTGATTTTTTTAGGACTATAAATTCTACTATGTCAAGAGGGACACAGTTCAGAGAGTTAAAAATGGAAGCTTACTCTAGCTTTCTGTCACATAAGCATACATAGCTGTTCATGACGTGTTTCACATTCTCCAAAAAGTATAGCCAACGTTATAGTAGAGAATCTAAGCTTACAAATGACTGTTTAGAACTCAATTACAAAATATCTGTTTTCTGACACATCAGTCACATGGCTCCTTTATACAACATAGCTGGTAACCAGCCATGTACCAAACTTTGGTCTCCTCTGGGTATCAGTAATTACACTGAAAGAAGCAAATTTGGTTTCAAAAGTTATTTTCTATTGGCACAACGCGGGTAACCTTCAAGACTGTCTAACATTGTCCTAACAAAACTTCAACTCTGACCTGAAGACATAAAAGAACTGTTTGATCTCTACATTCATTTAAATTTTAGCCCCTAAGCCAAAGCAGGGTGCCAATTAATGTTAAAAGATGCTTTAATGATGCAGGTGTTTGCCCACTGGGAAGGAGACTCCTAACATTGCAGACTACTAAGCTCTGTCTACAGTAGAATCTACCTTGATTCCCAGTAGTCTCCAACAGCTACCAGTTTAGCTGAACCACAGCAAACCAATGACTGCTAGAGAAGCAAAAGTAACCACCAGCACCATTGGTTACTGTTTTGGCTGCTAGACAGCTAAAACTAATGTCCTCAGGGTAAACAATGCACGGATCCAGGCTGTTCAACCTCTTTGAAACTGCAGATCAGGTGTCAGTTTTAAATCACACTCATCTCCTGAATCACAAGAGTGCAGCTTCAGTTCACAGGGATAAGCCCTTGGATGCAAACAGGCACCCAAGGAGATGTTTCAAATGAAATCATGGCCTGTAGTTCTCTCTCTACCATGCTGTAGATATACTGCCTACCAACTAGACACTCTAGCCTAAATATGCTACAAAATTAGCAGGATATTACTAAGTAGGCTCAACAGGCAAAACAAAGTAGCCAGAAATTCTAGAATTCCCAAATCTTTGAGACATGCAATCTAAAAATCTTTCAGGTTCCAAATTTTTTGGTTGAGCCTGCATTAGGTAGACAGCAATGTACAATTAACACGTCAAGACTGCACGAAACTGGAATACAGTCTCAGGTATTAAAGCAAAACAATATACAAAATACATATTTGGGAAAAAAAAGTAATTCTCCCTAGAAAAATAGCAAAATCATCACATTTGCAGAGTTATTTGTAGCATTCTGTGAGACTTTAAAATAGAACTTTTTCTTTAAGTTCTGATGATTCATTTGACAGATTCTTTTAATTTTATTTCGAGAGAAACAAAGGAAAGGCTTTGATTCTTGTCCAATCCTTAACATCCATGTTGTGGTCTCCTACCCTCAAGTGAACAGAATCTCTATCAAATTTCTTAGCACCACACTGCACTTCAAAACTTCCAGCTACAGTGGATATTTATAAAGTAGCATTTCATTAATTTGGTATAGTTATGTTTTAAAAAAAACAAAAAAAACCCAAAACCAAAACCCCTGACACTAGTGTTTACACTAGGGTTTTGTGTTAATGCCTGTGTACTCGAGCTTCTCTTGCACCCACGTGGTTTTCCAATTATCATGAATTTTAAGATTCATCGTATATGTAGTTGAAGACTGCAGTGAATGAATGTGTAATAAAATTCAGGTGGATCTCTCTGTATCTAGCACTAACTCAGCATCTCCCAAATTCTTTCCCTTATACACAAAAACCAACCTGTTTATCCCTAGCTTCTCTACTGCTCTGGGATCTTGAAGACACTTGAACAGTTGCATGCTATCAGGAACATCCACTTGCATCCTGGAGCCACATACCTCTCACAGCACTGTAACAGCATTACAGCAGAATTACAGCAACCACAATTTGTGCACTTGACATGGACTTGAGCAAAGATGACAGGTACTTTCACAATCGTAGTTCACTCCTGCACTAACAAAGCCACAAAAATTATCAAGAAGTATGAGTAAACATAAAAGCAGGCAAGGAAGGAAGAACCACAGCATTGCTCAATGCCATAACAAAATGAAAGCACTCCAATAGCGTGCTAAATATATAAGGACCCAAGCAGGACTTTGGTGATGCTCCAGTTACCTGTTGCAACTTCGTGGACTTCACTTCTTGGACACTGATACAAGTGTACAGTAAACACCGTTCTGCTAATACGCTACACTGTTCTGAAAACAGTAACTTTGACTATATGCAATTCATGCCTTATTTACACAGAAGAATATGTTGGTTTACCTAAAGATGAATTTTTAAACTAACTTAGCTTAACATAAGCTGACGTAAAATTATATGGACATGCCATCTAGTCTAAGCAGTTTAGTTCAGTTTAGGAGAGTTTAGATTTGAAACTGGAAGAAATCGCTGCAACTCCAAAATAAGATGCCTGACTGAGATTTCATTAATTTCAAGAAACAACCTGCATATGAATGTCCTCCATATTACTACTTGATTACAACACAGCTACAGAAGAAAGGATCCTCACATGTGTTTTCCCAACTATATAGTAGCACTGAGTGACACAAAACAAGATCTGAAATACTTTAGAAGGCACAAGTGCCTGTATCATGTTTTGCTTTGAGATTAAAATTCAAAAACAAGTTATTTTCCAACCTTTAAAGGAAACATCCTAATAAAAGCTTTTCTCTTCTTGTACACCACTACCTCACTTACACCTATACTTTTGCATATGAGTATTGACTGATGGCAAAAGATGGGACTTCTGAAAAAAAAAATCCCTTTTCTTCACAAATATTACTGAGAAGGTATACATACATCAAAACTTGAAGATTTAGTATAAGTTAAAAATCTTTGAAATATTTTAATATCTAAACACTGCTCATATATTCCACATAGCAGCCATCAAAGCAGGCAGGAGTCAAACTGGAATTTGTTTAGAATATAGATGGACAAACAACCAAAGGGCTGGATCCAGCCTGCAAAGCAGGTTTTTATTAGGCCACCAGCAATGCCTGCTAGCCAGCTACCAGACAAGCCAAGTCCAGCCCATTAGTCAGTCACACAAACTGCGGATGCTGTTGGGAAAGAAAAGAAAATAAACTTAAGATTGGTAGACAGGGTTTACTGCTGGGTCAGTGCCAGCACAGTCCAAATTCAGCCCTCTCTCAGGACAGCTCAGCTCAGGAAGCAATACAGCCACTATAGAGAAGAATAGGGCAGAGAAGGGACCCAACTTCAACTAATGCAGTGAAACACCAACTCAGGTATTTCCAATGACAGTCCAACCCGAAGAGTTGGAGTTTAAGTGCACAGAAGAAACCACTGAGTTGGGCTAGGTGCAGAAGAGTTTACTACCTGAGTCATCACCATCCACTCCAGAATTAGGCTGGCTCCTACAGAATCATTCAGGTAATCCTGCATCACGTACCCAGCGCTCTGGGAAGGTTTACTGGTCATGTAGCCAGCTGTGGTGCTGCACTGCAGCCAACTGCACCCAGAACCAGAGATAAAAGAACGAGAGCAAGAGTCAGCCTGACTGGGCTGACACAGAGACAGATTTGACAAGTTCAGTAAGGCTGAAGCTCACTCCATTCAGCCAGTTGTTTATGCTCCACACTCACTCAATTTCCTGATTCTTGCACCACAGTGAAAGGACGTTCAGACCAACTGTGCACAGTGAAAATACTAGTTCCACCTAACTAGTACTACCTTTAGTACAGCAGTAAATTGGGTCTACTGCTTCCAGATTACAGCTGTCTCTGGCATCAGTACAGCTAGGTTTGCAATCTAACTTCATGAACTATACCACTACTATAAGTTTTACACATTGCCAGAGCTAATTCAGCCTCTTATGTCCCCAAATAACAAAAGGTTGATTACATTGCTTTGCTGCTGATTGCAACTATATCCCTCAGTACCTTTCTGACTCTACACATGGCTCTCAAGCATAAACAGTTGCATGACTCAGGTTGCATTTTTGACACTATAATGCAATCAGCTTACATTTTTACTAGTTTAAAATCAAATTGCCTCCAATATAGAAAAAAACCCCACAAATAGGTCTGTTATGGCCACAGAAAAATACTTCACTTTAGAAATTGTCTGTAGTCAAAGACTGCATCCTTATGATTTGCAGATACCCTTACAGTTCTGAAGGGAAAGGTACAACGAATAATGGTTGTTGGCTTAGCATTGCCACCTGCAAGAGACATTCCATGAATAAACATCTCGGTACTTATATCTTCCTAATTTTATTAATGGTGTGTAGCATCATGTAAAAAGTAGCTATTCTACAGGCTTGCCAGCTCCCAACTTTTAAAACAGCCACAGTCAAGTTTCAAAACCATACTATGTATTCAGGTTGTTACCTGAAAATGTAACATAAAAGGTAAAGTTTCTGTTACACATTCAGACTCCCCTTCTTAAACTGACAGCCTTTGGGTTTTAAACTCCTTTAGCCAAAGTGTAACATAGTAATCACTTCACAAGGTTGTGAAGGAAAGCCCAGAAGGCCCTTGCCTACTGCCACTAGACAGGTTTGATACTAAGTTGTGTTCAGTCAGGGAATATTCAATCCATAGGTGATTAAAGTAGTTCACATGAGGGAAGAAAAAAAAAAAAAAAAAAAAAAAAAAGGCTAATTCTGTTCAGCAAATAAACAACTGTCTCCATCTACATACTTTCTAAACTTCACTATTTGATGCTTTGTTCACGCTGGGCAGAACAATGATCAGCCTTTTTTGTTCCACAGTAAAGTCACCTTTAAGGAAGAAAGATAAAGTCAAAAAAAAGGATAAAAGATGCACGTATATGCCACAACCTTTTAAAGACACAGTAAAGTCTTTGAAGCTTTCTAATGTTTGATCTCGTTTAATTACGTGGAGGTCAAATGAAGACGCGGGACAGGGGGTGTGAGATGCTGCGGGGAGCTGACGACAAACCGCTGCCCTCTGGGCCG